TTCACAATTTTTATGTCCAAACATCTACTTAGTGCACTAGAATGTCCTTTTAAATCCTTTTGCATTCTCCTAAGTTTCATCTGACTGTAGTTCTGTGATTCATTGATAGTTTGGTCTTCACCAACTTATAGAGACAACTACATGTTTTGTGGAGGTTATTTTGGGTTAAGTCCGGTCATAGTTTATTCTCTTTTCAGCTTAATACCTGTGTTTTCACTAGTTGCCTTTTTCTCAGTCCATGAAAATCATAACATGTTATGTAAAATCATGCAGATGTCCGCACTCAAGCCATGTATCAACTTCTGGATGCTGGGTTTATTGGATTGATATTTTCGTGTTTTAGTGAAGATGCACAGAAGGTAGTGTAAGATTGTTTGGAATCAAGTAGATCAGCACTAGTATAATATCTTGACCAGTGCATATTTAAAAACTGTAGATCACCACAAGCATAATGTCTTGGCCAGTGCATGCCTACAAACTATTTGCTAATATTTCAGGTCGGGAGAATCCAAGTTATTGCATTTCAGTCCTTGGATGGAAAGCAGCAGAATCACATGTTGTTGAGGCCTATTTCCCTTTCCCCTGTACATAAAAATTCTGTAATAGACCTTGAATCGCCTTTAAGTTCCGCAGACACATCTAGAGCTGGTTCAAAAATTGAGATTCTTGAACAAGATACTGGTGATTCAAGAGCTTCTGCTTTAGCTTCTAAGGTATGTTTAGTGATTTCATAAGTTAAATAAAGCATGTTAGTTGTTACTTACCATTTCAAAATCAATTAATTGTAAAGCATGGTAGTTATAATGTTTTACTGGAATTCAAGAGGCTGCTGGCCATTTTAGCAAACAGGTTTAAAAGATATACACTGATTTTTTCAATGGATCAATTTTTTTGCTGTATGACTTTGCCTTTGGCATGCGAAGCTACTTGTGGATCTGCAGTGTTATGAACATACACTTCTCTCGGGAAGAATAAGTGTGAAGGGAAAAATTGTGGTCTTTATGATTCTTTCTCTTCTGCTGGTTATGTATTCTTTTTCTTTTAAAGTTTCGGGGGACAAGGTATGAGGTAGGTTGGGTTCGGTAATTTTTTATTAAACTTGGTTGATGGATTGGTTTTGATTGGTTAGAATGGGGATGATCTATGTACTTGGTGGATTCCCTTGCTAATACTGATAGCTGAGTTGGAGAAAACTGTCGTGCCAACTTGTTTTCGAAACTTATGATTGAGGATCTGAACTCTTTTCACTCCTCTCTCTTTTTAGCCTTGGACTTCTTCTTTACTCATGATAATCTTAACTGATTGGTTAGGGTGGGACAAGATCCACGGACTTGGGCAATTTCTTTGCTAATGTTGATAATAGAGTTGGAGAAAACCTTCACGCCAACAGTCTTAGTAATGCAGTCATTGATGTAGATCCAATGGACATGTCAGAAAGTATGCAAGAAGCAATGCATCGATCGAATCTGGAGATGAGGTACATTTGAGTATGTATTTGATTACTTAAAATGATTTGAACTGTTTTTTCTGACTACATAAAAAGCAATTTTGGAATTCTCTCTATGGGGTGAGTTATGGAGGACCATAGATGTTTATACCACATTTTGAAAGAAAAGTATGGTTTCATAAATCAATCTGGTAAGAACTAATATGGCATTGCTTCTACTTTAATAAGATATCTTATCTCTCAAAATCGTGTTCTGCTTGCCATGAAAATGGAGAAGATTGGTGCTGGTCTGGAAGGAAATTAGATAAGGAAGGCGTTAGTGTATGGTTCTAATACTTGTCCAGCCCCACTACTATGCCTTTTTTGCTTTCGGGTTATTTGGAATAAAGGAATTTGGGTGGTTTGAAAGAAAGACAGAACCAACACACATGATCAAATACAAATATTTGTCTTCTTTTTGGCCTTTTGGTGTAAATTGCTAAAGGTATACGACATAGATAGGTTGATGGATTCCCTCAACTGCATGCACTTATAATAGGACTGAGTTTTCTGTTGTGCATATTGACACCTTCTTTTTGCAGTTTACACCAATAAATTTGTTTACCTATCGGAAAAAAAAGATTTTGCTGTAACCGAGTATCAAGACCCTTCAATGAAGTAGATCACTGAATTTTTTAAATTTTTTTTTACCAGCTCATCATTTATTATTAGCACCATTGACTATTGTTAACAAAGTACCTCACTCAACTTCAAAAGTTAGCTGAAGTTGTGAGGATTATAACCCGTACCCTGCACACCTAGAGCTGGACATCTGGTGTTTGGATAACCTCACATGCAGACAACACTGGCGACCTAAATTCATGGACAAGTTTGGCTCTGAGATAATGTTAAGAAAATGACGTTGAGTATGATTCAATCCAAAAGCTTGTTCATGAGGTGAGAATTGTCAAGATCATATAAAGAAACCACATTGTATACCCTCGAGCAGTGTGGGTTTTTAAGAACTAGAACCTCTGAGTATCTTATGTGCTAAAAACCTATCAAGTTGCTTTGCTGGAGGAGTGTCAGATAGATAATTAGCTTAACCTGCAGTTGAAGAGGGGATGGTGTGCAAGTGGGTAACTGCATAAAATTAGATGAACAAAATTTCTACCTGACATGTTTTTTCAGAATCTTGGGCAACTGCAAGTGTCAGACTCAAGAGTATTTTTTTAATTTTGAGTCTGTCTTATAATGTTCTTAGTTATTGCAATTTAAAGATAATGTGAAGTTGCTTGTACACTGAAGTTTATTTAACCCCCACTGCACCAAAAAAAAGAAAAAAAAAAGAAAGAGAAGCCTTTGTTGTTTAATAAAGTCTCTCTTGTTGAGAAAATGTTGTTCGTCTATAGTGGTATCTATAATGAATAGTCTAACAGTCAAAGCTGTTTTAATTCACCTCTCCCTTTGATTCAATGAATTTCTATGTTTTCTGCTATTTGCTTGTTATTCAAATTACTGATTCAACCCTTCTGAAGCATGATAAATGCTTGGCTTAATCTATAAATATTTTTGGTTGGTGACAGTGGTGCAGAATATGTCAGAAAGGAAATCCCTCTTCTTGTTCTGCCATCCTCATCTCTTTTCAATCTTGATGCACCTTTGAACTCATTCACGGATCTGCAACGGGTATTATTTGAAGAAGAACGAACTGCATATAATCAGGCTGTTGTAACAAATATGAGGTGGTCGAACTTAATGTGTGCTTATTGCTTGCTTTGCATATATGTGCTTTTTAACTGCTATAATAATTTGGGATGTCTTTCTGCAGGGAAACAAAAGTGCACCCGCTCACTTTCATTCATCACACATCTACATATCAGGCTTCTATGTGCAAATTAATGGAGTATTGGTAAATGAGCTCACTCTTTGACGTCTGTCTTAGAACTCTGTTTTTCTTTGTTGTTGTGATATTTTTTATCACCACTTTGTTCTGTATCGCAGCTTAAGTCCCGCCATCAGTTCCCTCCAGGACCAGTTGAGAGAGAATGAAATTCGGGTATGAATGCTTATTTATCTTCTGATCTTCATCTATTGTACTTCTTTCTTCAGATTTTACCTTCCATTGAATTAGTAGACCATGGAGTTGATGTTTAGACCCTCGTCATGTACAAATGTTTTCGATTTCCTGAGATGTTTCAAGTTCTTTTGTCTAGCTTTGGTTTTGTGAAATATGTCATGGACTATCTTGGTATCCCTTCAGAACTGCTCAACCACCCTTACTTGTTAGGGAAGTCTCGAGTTGCTCAAAATTGAGACTTGAGTACAACTTTGGCAAAGTAATCCTCAAAAGTTTGTGTATTTACGAGATCAGTATTGCATAACTAGTTGGCCTTCCATTTTTAGGAAGTCTATTGAAAGGGAAAAAGATCCGTACTAAAGGTTATTCCAGTTGTACTTCCCATTGGCTTGCATTCACACATTAGCTGATTGGGCACGAATTATGCATCTTTTAGTAGTAATATTTTACATGATTTGGTGGCTGAATAGTTTTATCTGCTTTTGCTGGAACAGCTAAAGATGCTAAGTGAAGAAGCCAAAGTTTTGGAAGCTGAGACTATAAGAGGGGAACCAAATACAAGTTCTCCTCGTCGAGGTAGTGCTTCATTGGGTCAAAGAGACTTGTACAGTCCAACCGAGTTAAGAAGTGTTTCCGGTTCAAGTAGTCGGAGCAGAAAAGCACCCTAATGAAGTAGCAAGGTCGATCTTACCTATGCGAAGTGTATAGTAGGGGTTTATTTTGTTATCTCACCTTGTTGTGACTGATTCTGGTCCCTTTTGGTGCTTAATATGATGCCAAGTTTTGGTTATTTTCGAGTTTGTACATTGCAAATTTACTGCAATGGTTCTGGCTTTAGAGCCAGAATTCCATGAGATTGGTGTATTGGAATTTAGAAAATTATGAATTGCAAACCAGAACAAGTAGTAGACAACCTCAGAGATCTTTGCTCTTTATAACCCCCCAAACCAACCCTTGTCATTTGTTCTGTGTGAAAAAAGCAAACAGCTTTAATTAATACAGGATGTGTATTATGATTTTGGTCACATAAAAATGGTCTTTTTCTTCAGAAATGAATACAATGCTGTGAAGGAAATTAGTTGATACAACTTCATTGAAATTTATTACACAACCTGCTGCAAATGCTTTGTCCAAAAGCGTATGAAACTAGTTGTGTAGATTTGATTCATAATTAGGAATTTATTACTTTAATATTCAATAATTCTCTTGTTTGTTCATTTACGTGCAGTCCTCTTACTCGTTGGTGCTAAAATCTCCCAATCCTTCTTTTGCAAGCGTATATCAAGTCACATACCCCTCCATTCCTATTTACTTAATCATGTTTAATTTATCACCTAATTATTAGTACTTGATTTTTTTAAAAATGAACCGTCCCTTTTCCATTATATAGGAGGATAATATATTTTTGTTTTAATTTCCGTCCTTCCACAAGAAGGAAATTTCATTTCCCAGATCCACAAAAATATAAGTTAACAATTTTTTTTACCCAAGAAATTAAAACAGCACGGATGGTTAGGTCCCATTTAATAACAAGAACAACATTTTCTTCAATAAACTTGTATAAAGAAAAAGAAAGATGACAATGCCTATGGTAGGGTGTGTGCTAAACAACAAACCTCATAACAGGCTACAACAATAGTAAAAGAAAAAAAGATGAAACTATTTATGACTTAAATGTTGGTGTTAGTTGGGTTGTGTTTTGGGTATTCATCAAGGTAATTTGGGATACCACCAGTAGCTGCGTTGTCATTATTTGCTCCTCCAACAGTATTCTTAACTGCATCAGCCGCACCTTGAGCAATATTAGCAGCACCCAACGCAGCTCCACGAGCTACGCTTACTGCACCTTGAGCTGCTCCTTTTCCAATATCTGCTGCTCCTTGTGCCATGTTCTTCACTTGATTCCCAGTCTTCAATTATCGAAAAAATATCCTTAAACTATGTGAAATGAACAAAAATACTCTTCGTTTGATCCAAAAATGGCCGTATAACTATATATGAAAGGCATTACTTTATTTACTTCACATAGTTTGCAATCTACACATATAAGAGTTCAAATTAATCCCTAATTTGCACCTATAATTTAGAAATAATTAATTACCTCTTGAAGGAAGCCTTGGTTCTGGTTATGGATATCAGAAGGTGCGTCTCTTCTTATCTAAAAAATTAGGAAAAAAAGTTGCTTAAATTGGCATGATGTTGAAGAAAATAGAGAGGTTTAAATATGGATCAAACTTTAGTAATTAACAATGTAAAGAGTAATTAATTATTGATCATATATACCTGATTTTGGCTACTGTTAAAAAGGTTGTCATTACCGTGGCTGGCCATGTTATATATCTTTTTTATACTTTCTCTGTGTTGTGAATAGATGAAATGGATTTGATGTTGGGTGACTAATGTTGTGTGAATTTATAGTGTTGAGGCTCCTCAAATGGTGACCAAAGTACACGCATTTTCCAACACATGGCACCACATAACACTATAATAATCTGCGTAAGGGTTACTCCGTTTTATTTAGAACGCTTCTACCGGGTAATGAGTTACCCATATATATTTTGATTAATATTTTTATGACATGACAATAATAAATAAATAAAAATTATTTTTTAATAAATACGACATGACAACTATTTTAGAAGTGAAAGAATAGTATATAACATTTCTTAACGATATAATAACTTGTTTGAAAACGAAACGACTCTTTATCCATTATTGAGTATGACAATAATGGACTCCTAAATAATTTTAACTGCGTATAATTATAAATAGTAGTAGTATTTTCCGCTAAAGTGCCACTAACAGGAGGCTGACTCTCATGTCCCTGCGACAAATATTGTTGGACATTTCAAAATAATATAATGGACAACTATTATTGGACATAGGGATATTTTAAAAATAAATGGGAAAAAGGACAAATATACCCAAACTATCGTAAATGGTATGCAGATACCCTCCGTCATACTTTTGGACATTGGTGCCCCTCCCGTCTAAAAACTAGAGCATATATGCCCTTTACTCTAACGGAAGACTAAATATGGACACGTGGCGCAATCTTATCCGTGGATAAATGTCGGATTGATGGATAAGATTATGACTCCGTTAGTATAAAGGGTATATATGCTCTAGTTTTTGGACGGCAGGAACACCAATGTCCCAAAAGTATGACGAAGAATATTTGCATACTATTTACGATAGTTCGAGGTATATTTGTCCCTTTTCCCAAAAAAATAAATTATCTCTTTGGCTTCGTGCCGACCAACCAAATAAGGAAAATCAAAGCTTTCGAAGAAAAAACAAAAAAGAAGCTAACCGTCGAGTGGATATGTGCTCTACACGCGTCATTTAGGAGGGGACACATGTCGAGGCATTGGCTGAAACGTATCACAATTGTATTTGACAGTTGAAAGTTGAAAGTTGAAACCATGTCGAGCCAATTACTCCATTCCAGTTCAGGCAACCGCATCTTTCTTAGATTTACGCGGAGATTATAGTGAAGTGATAAAATATTTTTTTAATTTTAAATTAGAGATTTTAAATTCGAATTTTAATAGAGTTACTAAAATATTTAACTTTCAATATGAAACTTTTCTATCGAAATTCAAATTTAATCTAATTTCTACATCAAAATAAAATCTATGCTTCTACTCCCTCCGCTTCCAAAACAAAGGTTAGCTCAGCAAAAACCATACATTTATTAAAAGGATAATATTTTAATTTATATAATATAATAAATTAAATATGAATATTATAAAAAATATAAGAAGACGTCGTAATATCATATATTATCCTTATAAAAAGTATATATTCATTGATCTTTTATCAATGAGTAGGATTCTATATAGATAAAATATTGTTAGCGTTAATAAAAATTTATCAAATCAAAAAATGTTTTATGATTTTTAGAATTGATTGAAAAAGTAAGTGTGTCATATAAATTGAGACGAGGGGATGAATATAATAATTTACTAAATCATCACTATTTAATAATTTATAAGATAATCCTTATTTTGGGATACTTTTTTTTTATTATTAACATTGATACTTATTTTGGAGCAGAAAAAAAGTTTTAATAAATAATATTATCTTCACAGACATGTCTATTTTACCGAGCCACTCTCCGAGACAGTGCCCTTATTACTTATTAGAGCTCGTATAATATTTAATTTTACTATATATGTTTTAAAGCATAATCTGAATGCGTGTGTATATATATATATATATATATATATATATATTGACTTTTAACTTCATAATATATTTATTTTTTAGTATTTTGAACACTTGAAATCCTCTTTTAATTGTATGGAAAATAAACTATATATATATATATATGTAAAGTTGTGTTGTATGTGTGTAGGAACCACCACCACCTAAAAACATATGATGTAGTCTTATAAGATGTCATACATATATTATACTAGAGGGGCGTGGCCCGTGCTAGCACGGGCCCAACAGACTCTCACAAGTAATATTTCTTTTATAAAAGAAAAAGGATCCCTCCTCTTCATTTCTCTTTTCTCCATTTTCCCAAGTTCTAGTTTGGATTAAAGATATATGTCATAGTTTAAAATTAATGATTGAGATCTAAATGATTAAAGTAAAGTCCTAACCATAGTTATTTGCTTCCATATATTTGCTTCTTAAATATTTTTGCAATCCA